CGCTAATAATAGCTCATATATTTAAAACGTTCGCAAAACGTAGAGTGATCGCACTTAATCCGTGCAACTGTAAAAACTAAATAGTTCTATTTAGTTGTATTCAGCAAATCGTGCATGCGGTACGCAAATTAAATTGAATAGGTGCAAATGAAGTATTCAATACCGTCTTGCTTCAGGTCCACTTTCAGGACAAATTAGTACTATTCACCAATATGCACTCTTGTAATAATTGTGTATATAGCTTTCGGGAAAAGTTTTAGACATTCGCGTTTAATTTAGCGCAMACTGAAGCAGGTAAAACGTCGTTTAACTTACCAAGAGCTACCACAAACTGTGCACCAATTTCGTTTGCGCTTTTACCMATCTGTTTGGCAACAGCGGATTCTATTGGAGTCCGATACGGGAAAAACGGCATCCCTCCCCAATCACCAATTAGTATGAAGCTTAGATCATCGTTCTGCTCCRAACTCGTTGAAGAAGCAAGGACGCATAGAACGGTCAGAGTTGCGAGAAGAATTCTTCTCAGTGMCATTTTGTTAGGTCGTTTCCGTCTTGGATCTCTCTCGGATCTGATGACAACACGTAAGATTTTATCAAAGGTCACGTGAATACTTTCCTATCAGGTTTTAATCCTGGTTCTCAAACATGTCAAAGGATTTTTTAATTACGAACAATGGATTACAGACTTTAATTGCACTATTTTCAAACTCAGATTTATGTTTATTTATTTCCAATTCTAGTCATTTAGCAGCTTTGGCCGCTTTGCATTTTTGTTATAATTGAAAACTGAAAAAAGAAAACTTTTGCGCGCTAGTCTGCGCGGCCGTTTCAAACTCTCTTTCGAGAAAAAGGCATATGACTAGACACAGGAAATGTAATTCCATTCCATTATCAGAATTTCCAAGAAAATGGATATTCACTTTTTCTCTTATATTGCCCCTTTCATTCAGTTTCATCTCAATGACGTCGTGCTCCCGTGATTTTTTCCCAGAACGCATTGGGACCCTTGACATTTCGGAAAATCATAAATCGGCGGGAAAGAAATACTGTTGTGAAAGAACTTGAAATTCGCCTAAAACTGCTTTATTCTTACAAATTTTATAACCTTTTGCTTGCAATGAAAGAACGATAAATTTGTCATGATGTGACAATGCCTTCTGGTGATTCAAGGAAAGATTTCGTCGTTCAAACGACGGCCAATTATTTTGGCATTGCAAGTTCTGATGCAGCTTTAGCTAAAATCTTTGACTCGAAGGAGCTAAATGCTTTCTTGGACGACGGAAATAGCCCTGTTTTAGCGGCTAAATATGATACACACCAAGGCAAAAAGCTGATTGAGGTTTACAACCACGTCGAACCGAGYGATGTATCGGAAAAAGTCATTGTGTTCTTCAAACTACAACCCGAAGTGATCACTCCCGACAACCTTCACCAAAATGTCTTCGTATCTTCGATGCTSGAGTCACCGGTGAATACTTTGTACCACTCAGTTCAAAAAATATTCGCTCCTTTGCTTCTGAAAGACGAGAAATGGAGTCGAAATTTTGACCCAAAACTACAAAGTCTACTAAGCGAGCTCGAAGCCGGTCTCGGCAGTGTTGTTAGGAAGCAAGACAAAAATGCCCCGAGAGGAGGTCTTAACGAGAGCAGAGATAGTTTAGGAGGGATTTTAACCCCACAAGATGAATTTCAATACTGGGCTGATGCTTCTGTGTCTGGTTATGACTTATCTGAGCGAGAAAGAGCAGCATTCTTTCAAGAATGTTTTCAAAAAGGTTTGTACTGCAGTTTGAATAATTGTGTACATTGGTAGTCAATAGCAACGGGTATTAAACCTGTCCTTGATCTGAACATTTATGTTATTTTTATTACCCTGAATTGAGTATTGTTAGTTTATTGACATGCAAAATAATATTAAATATGTCGGAATTGGTTTTGCAGTATTCCAAATCAA